GCGGATGTGCATGGGCGGCTCCACCGGCAGCCTGGACAAAGTGTCGCTGCTCGGCGGGCCGTCGCCAAAGGGGAACCTCTTCCACCAGCCGCCGCTGGGGGACGTGCTGGCGGACCCCCTGCTGGACGGACCCCACTCAGGAACCCTAAGACTGGGGGAGCTGGACTTGGCCCGGGAGAACCACAGGAACATAAAGAACCACGCGCTGCAGATGCCGCTGAACGAGAAGACGCTGTCGGTTAACATTCACCGAGGCCCCAAGGAGGGTCTGCTCTGCACCCCGACCCCACACAGCTGCTGCCAGGTCATTTAGCCCCACGCGGCCGAGTCAGTCACACTCCACCCCCTCTCCCGTTCAAATCACTCCTCTTCCTGCTTTTTATTCAGCTTACAACGACCGGTTGTCGTGAGTTCACGCTGCTTTATTTTATTTCATTTTTTCACTCCCGTTTGGTTTTGATTAACACCTAACGGTGGGTCACTTGAGAGGGAATCCGAACGCCAAAATTGCACATTTGGAGACGTGAAAAGTCTCCACGGAGGAGACGGCGCGGAGGTATGCGAAGCACTTTCAGTAAAATTAAACAGAACACTAAAGGGACGTTTTGACTTGACGGTGTGTTTAATCTGAGTCTTTAAAAATAGAAGCAGATAGAGGAGGAGCTCGAAAGCGCTCCGCTTCTTCACACTTCTTCTACTGTATGTACACAGTGTTCACACCTAGATCACTAAAATAAGCTGACAGCTGAGAGCTGGCGAACTTTAGTAAAATCATGATTTGTGGGGTTTTTTTTACATTTTTTTAAATGTTTTTTTTAGACAATCTTTTATTATCGTAATATTTAACATCCGTTTTCATTTGAACGAGTGAAAAATACAGGGCGAAAACGGATAACGGCACTTAGGCATGACAGAGGCACACAATATATTTTTTATCATTGTTAGATGTTTTATTTATCTTGAACGTGGTCTGCAGAAAGAAAGCGCACACTTTGGTTTCTGTGTTTTGTTGGGGGCTGTTGCTGTTGAATCTCTGCAGATTTTGTACATATGTGAATAGCCTGACAGTACTCCGTCCCTGTAGTATTAACGGTAAAGTCGTATCGCAGTAGAGACCCGAATGCTAGATCCTTGTACACCATTATCCTGTCATTCCTACTGCATCGTCAAGAGCTGTTGTTGTTTTTTTTTTTAACGCTCGCCCACAAAACAAAAACAAAAAAAGAACATTAAGCGGAATTTAAACTTGGCAAAGGCAGCTCTGAGAATTCAAAAGCGACCCTCGATCGCGTGAGGAAGGAGACAAAACAAAAAAAAAAAAATCAAATGAAACTGTGGGCGCAGACACGGACCGCGTCCATCCTGTAGTTCTCCAGGAGCACAGTAGCCACTGCTGTAGCGTATTCCAAGACTACAACGAAAACGGGGCTTTTACAAGAACACACCAACACTGCCCCGCCCACTCAAGTGTTGACCTTTGTAACTGAACGTGTGACCCGCCCCTAGTGGAATATATAAACCGATGACAGTGCATGTGTTTTTGCTGTAGCAACCATCATTTCTTACCCACCAGGTCAACACCACCTGTTGTCTCTACCTAAATAAACGGATAGAAGTGATCACTTTACTGTAACCTCACAGCAATACCAGCAACTGCAAAATGTACAAAGGATGTGCCATAAAAACCTGTCTTAAGCATATTGTACTGTATGTATATGATAGAGATCTATTACAATAAAAATGATGTGAATGATGTCTAAGAGCTGTTGGCTTTTCATCAAGTAAGAGTTCAGTCCTGACAGCTGCAGCAGGGAGTGCTGAGAAAAGTGTGGAAAATTTGAGTGAGGCTCCTCCCCTTTTCCTTCCGTAGCTCCTCCCCCCTCACCAGAGAATTCAAGAAATTGATCATTTCCCTTTGACTTTAGGTTGTTTCTCCGCCATTAGCACAGTACCCTAACCCTATCTTGATCTTGAATGGCGGTTCTTGTTGTGTGGGGTAAAGGTGTGAGAAGCGTATACATAAGCTGATTTACACTACTGTAACACTCCTCCTGGCTCTGGTTGGCTATTTCTGACCAGGAGTGGTGCATTTCTGCAAATGGCAATGGGACAACCCGGAGTAGCTTGAATTTTTTCTTTTTCTTTTTGTCTAGACATAGTGACAGTTTTAACAAATGGGTAAAAAAAATATACATTTTTTTCAAAAGGTTCTACTTACTCTGGCGAACTGTGTGTAAGTTCTATTATTTTCTATCATGGCTCTCACTGGGAGAGACGGCTCCAAGGCATGTGTGAAAAAAACAACTGCTTGTGGTCCCATACCCACCAAACTTGCTCAAAAGCATCTTTGTTTTGATTTGATAGGTTGCATGTTTGGCACATTTTACATATCTGTTTCACATTCTAAAAACAAAAGCTGTTAAACTTACTAACCTGTTTACTGTATAATCAGTGTTTGTCTGCAGATGTCACTCAAATGAATGTGCCAAGCTGAAATATCGCTCTGCATTTCACAATGAAAATTAATTGCAGCATATCTTCTTGTTTGCTCTCCCAGATGCCACCAAATCTCAAAGAGGGGCCCCAAAAGACGTTTGCCCCTGGCCTCATTCAAACGTGGACCAGCCCTGCTTTAGCCACCAACTATTATTACACTGCAAAAAAAAGGAGAAAAAAAAGTTTTATAATTGTAACAACTTATGATGACATTAAGTCGAAATGCTTAAACAGAAAAAAAAAAAAACATTGAATGAGTGCGTCTGTGCGTCTTTTTTTTTTTTTTTTCCTGAATGATTCCGGTGCTTCTCTCCTCAAACACCTAACAGTGGGTTTGAAACAAACAGGGGAGAAGTGAAATCCCTCCAACATCTGGGCTACTGTCCCACATCCGTCAGCTGGGAGGAAATCAGATCAGACCAGATGAGAACTGGCTTACACACACACACACACGCACACACACACTCACAAATCACATGCAGACTCATGATGCCAAGTGCAATCACAGCCCCTACATTAGCAGGGCCACAAAAAAAAGACGTGGGATTAGATGCACACAAAGTGCACAGGCGACAAATTTGTCATGTGGCCTCCAAACTGTGAATGGATCACGGAGGGAAGCGTGTCAGAGACCGGATGTCACGCGCGCACTGAGGCACGTGCTGGACTCGGATCGTCCCATAGGGCTAAAAGCGTCTTGCAGCTGCAAAACACCACAAAATGACCGGATATTTCACGTAAAAACCGTCATTTTCGACACTGACGTCTTACTCGTTGGCAATAATTTAGGTTTCGACTGTTCTGTGCTGTGTTTTTTGTTTCTAATATTCCAACTCCTGATTGGGATGGACATTCTAATTAAAAAAAAACAAATCCTATTTAATGATAGGAAATAATTTCAGATACTATCACTGGAAACACTTAAAATTATACAGAGAGCAATTTTATTAGGCTATGATGAACCTGAATTGATACTGTTCCAGGAAAACAAACACTTACTCCTCCCCTTGTGTAGTTTTATATAAATGCTTCTCCTGTGTGAAGATGCTCCAAAATCAACCTTGTCCAGTCCTGTGGACGCAGGACCTGGACGGGTCGAACGAGCCAAACGTAATCTTTGTGGTTGATGTTCGAAGCTTTGGACTCTTGAGCAGATCAGGTAAGTTAGAGAGCAGCACATAAAAATCCACTTTACAAACTGCAGACAAAGCACATTGTGACAATGTAGCTACTATCGAGCCAGATGTAGGCGCACAACGCTAAAACAAAACAAAACAAAAAAAAACAATACAAAGAATGAAAATGTCTCCTGCGTGTACAAGAAAATGTTCATCCAATGGCTGTTTGATTTATGATAGTATTTTTCTGAAGTACTAGATTAAAATCCAGTAGTGGGATTTTTTCCCCACCTCATTCATGACAAAGATTCAGATGTTTTCTCGCATGCATCAATAACACCATGTGATTTGTACATCTCAGCAGGTTTTTGCCATTTCGACTGGCAAATCGCCTGCAAACTCTGGCTTATCATTAGTGCAGAGGTCTGTATGGCAAGCCGAATGGGCATATATTCAATGTCTTTGACACTGAGGGTAATATTCCCCTATTAGATAAATGTCCAAACAGTTTGTTCTGTTTAGACATTTTGGTTGCTGCTTCCTTGACTTGGTAATCCACCAGTCGATCAGACACAATGACTATCAACCATGAGCCACTAGCAATGCCTGGAAAGTCCAGACTTGTGGTTGTTTTGGTTCTCTAGTTGGCAACTGTGACAAAATGGCAGACATCTTTGTTGTACAAATATGAAAACGTACATGTCTGTTGTTTTACTAAGCTGTGTTTCGTGAGCAGAGGAACATTTGGAAGCAGAAAGGTGCCAAAAAAACAACAAAACACTAGCAATCCCAAATGTACACACACCCTGTTTTTCATATTTGACAGGTAAAACTAATCATTTCAACTAGTTTAAAATGTTCCAAGACCTGCTCTCATTGTTTGAAGGACTAACCTTTGATTTATCGGCTAACACTTGAAGCAAAGCGATGTTAACCAAGCTTACATGAAATATAAACTCTTCCCTTTGCATAGTTTAATAACAATTTATGAGCAGTTGTATGAAAGCCTTTCCACCTTATCTACTTTTCCGTCAGCTTTAATGGAATCTTCAAAGAACTTCAGTATAAACATTAGATTCTCATATTTTGACATTTCAAAAATGTTGTTTATTGCACTGTTAGTTACGTAACACTGTAGGTTTTTGTGATGATGGTCAAGGGGATCATTTTCTAATTTATCGAGCTTTCAGCTCAAAACATCCATGTGCTTTCCTTTGTCAAAACTCGTAAAAAGAGAAATCTGTACGTCAGTCACACACAGTCCCAGTTTTAGATTTCACATGTGCTATTTTTTTTTAATAAATAAATTGAGGATACTTTCCCAGGACGTGGGAAAGCTGGAGACTTGCGAATACTTTTCTTTTATTAACAGCTTCAGGTGTTAACTAGATTATTTTTATCTACGAAAACATTGCATGTTACTGAAATATTGGTGCACAAACCAATTTTTTTTTTTTTTTTACCAAAGTTAGCTTCAGGTTCTGCAGGCTGGAGACAGGGAGCCATTGTTAAGGTGGGCTGGAGATGCAGCGATATCTTCTTCAGGAAGCTTATGTCCTTTAATCTTTTAGGTGACCCTCAGCTCATATGTCTGCAGCGAGCATTAAAATTTTCATTGCTTCCTTGACAAATTGCAACGAAAATAGCTGCATTGTTTTGTGAAGCGCCTCACAACAGCGCCACACCACTTGACTGCAGAAGCGCCGTTTTACCGGCATGCGCTGTGTTTGCTCTGTGTGTGGGTGAGGCTCCGGTTTGAAGCGTGTCTGTCAGCGGGACATTAAATCTGACTGCCAGCGGAGCCGATTGTGGAGGCTTAACAGCTGCCATCAGGCTGCCATCGCCGCTGCAGATGAAACATTCCCTCAGTCGTCTCTTATGCCAGCAAGGCCGACTTCTGGTGTCCAGGCAGCTGCCTCGCACACATCAACGCACTTTTCTTCATCTCCTCCAGGACAGGCGCTCGGTGTGCGAAGTCCGTGGGTTGATGCTCAGCCTGCCCGTGTCTGTTTGTGGTTTGGGTTTAGCCAGAGTGGGACGCAAGGTTTCCGTTTGCTCGGTACGTGCAATGAGAACCCAACGCCTGGCAGAGAAGGGCGAGCCGGGGACCCGTACCAGAACGAGAGATGGACTCTCTTAAACAGAAGGATGTCACAACCTGAAACAAAAAACAGGGGAAGCAACAAAAAATATAATTTTTAAAAGGGGAAGTGCTATGTGTTTTCTAGCCACATTGGGCTATAAAATGGCACTATCAACAAACTAAAAATGCTATTTGACGTCCTCATTTAACACCTTGAAATTGGGCCTCTGTCTCTTTAAGAAACTCCGCCCTCAGCAAGTCATCACAACATGGCTCCTCTATGATCCTTTTAACATTTTCACCAGCATTTCACCTGGAAGTAGCGTGTGTAAGGAGCTCGGCTGATGCACAGTTCCAGCAGTGGTTTGCTAATTGCTACTGGCTAGTCTGAAGGAGCTGAGTGGATGAGTGGCTGCTTCATACGGCAGAAGTTTGGAAGCACAAAACCACATCTCAGAGGAGGAGCTTTGTCCTCGGAGGCGGGGCTAGGTCCACCCAGGCATTTTTTGCACAGCTGAATGGTTGCCATGGAGATCAAAGGACTTCTATATTTTCAAACACACATGAGCGAATTAAGGCAACGGGTATGTCGTTGACCTCGGAATAACATTATAACATGACGTAAAGCTCAAAAAAGTTGATCTTACGAAAAACTGCCATCAGAAGATGAAGCGACTAACGGCCTAGTCAAAGTGAAAACGTAAAAATCTGTGACCAGACTAGAAAATCGACGCTCATCCATCTTGTGACTCAGCCAAGTATTAAAACAATGAAAAAAATGACATAATGAACCAAAAAGAAAAAAGAAGCGTCATTCCTCCCATTAAAACCACAACAACACGTCGAGGTTTGAGGTTTCAACGTGATGAAACATGAAGGGCAGACTTTTGCAAGGCGCTGCGTTTCCATAGGCTCCTGCCAACGACCACTAATGTAAAAACGTCCTGCTGCTGTTTGGACGTCTCTCACTCAGAGCCCACGAGGTTTTGTGTTCAGATGCAAAAAATGTCTCAAACCGAGCGAGAAAGGAAAAAAACGCCTGCAGAGTGACGCCGCGGTCTAATTGCTCAGTATTTAACGTAGTGAAGACGACTGCTGCTACGAAAACAGAAGAGATGAAAACGTACATGTCTGTTGTTTTACTAAGCTGTGATTGGTGAGCTGAGGAACATTTGGAAGCAGAAAGGTGCCAAAAAACAACAAAACACTAGCAATCCCAAATGTACACACACCCTGTAAAGCTTAGATTACTCTTCAATTAAATCTATTCAGTTATTTGTATATAGTGGGAGGAAAAATTGTTATGCAACATCATTTTGTACCTTTTTGTTTTGTAAACCGTACATTTTTCAGGTATGTGAGGGAGTTTATGAAATCATTTAATAAAAGAGAGCTGAAACTATTTTAGCAAAACAAACATCTCCAGATCATTAGTGGTGAAGTGCAGTTAAGATTCTCCTGTGATTTCATCTCGGTCACAATGCTGTTGAAACCTTTTTGTTTTCTTTCTTTTTCTGGAAAACATTTAAACTCAGTCACATGTTGATGTGCAAAGACCTAACAACAGAAAAAACGAAAACCCGACTCATGAAGGACGTTTGCTTTTGGTTTGACAGAGAAGCGCAAAGAAGCTCTTGATAGTGAAGTAGAAGAGAAACATCGTTTTCAAGTATTTTTACAAGGAAAGGCTTAAAAGTGCGGTGTGCATGTGTACCCATCCTTTCTAGACACTTTTTCATTTCAATTAAAGAGGCGGATGTTTTTCAATTAAAGTTCAAGTTCAGTGAGATTAGATGGAGCAATTCTGGGAACAATGATCTAACAGCCTAGCTACTGGATTTCAACTGGATTTAGGTACTTTGACTAGGCCGCAATTCTGCTTTGATCTCAAATTTTCCAATTCAGCTCTGCATGTACCTTTGGATTAGTTGTCCATCTTGAAGAAGAACTTCCACCTCAGCTTCAAGTCTTTCGCGGCCTCTAACTGTTTTTTTTTGTTTGTTTTGTCAGGACTGTCCTGCACTGAGCTCCAGCCGTTTCTTCAATGTTCCCATATAAATCCCAGAGCCACCAGAAGTCACACAATTAGAGCCATCAAAGCTTTATTAAGCAGCCCTTCTTTCAACAATAACTTCCTTTCTTCACTGCTTCACTGGCTTCCATTTTTCATCGTCAGGCTGATGAAAAATGCACACCACACCTTTCAGTTTTATTTATAAGAGATGTTTTGAAAACGTCCATCCATCCATTAATTTGTCGCATTCCCAGAAGAACACAATGAATGAGTAAAGTGGGAGGAAGGGAAATGTGGGGAAAATAACTTTTTCTACCCTCTGTGTGGAGTTACGTAGCAATTCGGTCAAAATGGCTTCCTTTTGCTTCTTTGTAAAGGTTTTCTGGGAGGAATTTGTGTCCAAAACGCCTGTTAGTTACACTGCTCTTTCTTGTTTCACGCAGCAACGCCCCCAAACACATGACAGAGGAGGGGGATAGGTGTCCAACGGGCAGATCGATCTTTCAACTTTCAACTGGAAATTGAAACAATTTCGATAAAAGCATGTGAGGTCTGATGAGCGAGGCCAAATATGGAAATGCGCTCGGTGAAAGGAGGTATAGCTCGGAGGCCAAAGTCAGATCTGCAAGTCTCAGCGACGAGAGAGTAGAAATTAGCAGCTCCGCAGGGTTTCACCAATCAGCGAGCGCTTTGGACTTCATGAATCGGCACGGAAAAGCGCCGACGCTTCCTCGGATTCTTTTCATTCCTCCCGCGAGATGAAGAGAAATCATCGCCATCCAAACCCTTTTTTTCTTTCTTCTTTCTTTTTTTCCTGCGCCGTGCATCACGCGCAGAACAAGCAGCCAGCTGGCAGGCAGTGGGGGCTGTTTAGCCTTTTCCTGACGCAGTCGTGTCAGAATCTAAATGCTGCAATCATTAAGAGAGTCTGTCGCCTTTTGGCGTAATTTGAGAGCAGCGCGGCGCTGTGAAGTGCCCTCGCTGCATAATATCCCAGAACGTTTCTTCTTTTTCTTCTTCTGCTGCCATTTGATCTGTGGTGCAGTGATGAGTTATCGGAAATGCAGGCTGGGAAAAAGACTTAGTGCATCAGATGTCTCCTATATGGTGCAACTGTCGCTCTGATTGCAAAAAATACAAAAAACATAAACATCTGGACTGTAAATATTGTCAGACGGCAAACTAGTGAAATGATTTATTCTTCTTTGATGGAATGACTCACATAAAAAAAATATATCTTAAAACAAAAAAAGAGGCATAGCTTGGAACACGCTTATTCTTTTAAAATGAAATGATTTCCTCTAGGCTTTGCACACTTTCCACATTTTGTCACATGACTACATATTTCACAGGGATTGTGAAATATGTAGCATTGTGTAAAATAAAAATCTGAACAGTTTAGCATGCTTTTGATTCAGCCCCCTTTACTCTGAAAGCGCTAAATAAAATCTATTGTGACCGTTTGCTCTAAAAGCGCAAATTTTTGAAGTCTTTAAGTCCTTGGTTTTAATGCCAAAGGGACACACTAGGATGAACAAGACAAAAAAATATGTTGTCATGCACATATATGTGTCTTATACCAGTGAGGAACTTTTTTTTTTTTTAAAGAAAATATTTAAATTAAATTAACTTTCTTTTTTTTCTGAGTGTGAAGATTTTTGACACGCGATCTTTTCTGTCAAGATACCATCGCTTTTCTTACTTCCCTTCAAATCCGAATAGTTTCTTAATTACTGCAGAAGAAAATCTCCACCACACCATCACACAGCCACCACTGTGTTTCCTCGCAGCGCTTCGCGTGTTCGGTTCTGTTCTCATCTGTGTACACTTTCTCCAGCACAACTCAAAAACGCAAATGTTTATTCCATAAAGGAAAAATCTGTGGGCAGAACAGCTAATAGTTGCTCTTTCAACACATCTAAGTCTTGACTGCTCCTCTGGTTAATGTTCCTCTTTCACGGCCCCTTTAGTTAAGGTCAAAGGTCACGTCTCGGTGGGTTTGCGGTTGTGCTGAAATCGATCCATTGCTGGATGATGGATTGACCGGAGCTCTGAGGGATGTTGCTTAAAAATATAACTTCAGATCTTCCTATGAGATGGTTTGTTTGGCTGAAGTTCATTAATGTTCTCTACCAAACCAGAGACATTTACACAATTGTATTACTTTGTTGGGATTTAAAGGCAACTAGATTTTATTTTAGGGGCGTCAATGGAACATGAAATCAATGTTTTTTGTATTTGTGGGGGTTTAATTGCTGTACCATGCAGTAATAATATATATATATATATATATATATATATATATATATATATATATATATATATATATATATATATATATATATATATATATATATATATAAAGGTAATAAATCGTTCTTTTATCACAACAGCCCCAAAGAATATTGTGATAAAAACCTTAAGTCCATATCGTGAACCCCTAGGTGTGAATACTTTTCCGAGTCCGATTAAATGCGGACTGAAAACCGCCAAAAACCTCGGAACATAAATGATGACTGGCCTGACAGCGCAGATCTCCCTACGAGCTGTTACTGGTTTACCAGCAGCATTAATGCAGTCTGCATTAATATGTCTGCAGCCATCTTTTTTTCTTTTTTTTTGATGCGCGGCTATTTCAAGCCGCTGTGCTTTCAATTATATCCAAGCCCAGCATGAAAGCGGCTGTCACAGCTCTGGCTTGTTTTCTGTTTCATAATAAAATGATTTCATGATCATGTGACTGAGTGGGTGACAGAGACAGACACACACAGAGAGAGATGTGGGGGAAGCTAGCAGCCTTTTTAAGTGAATATTATGGACGGAGGCCCGGGCACGTTACGCGAGCACGTTTTCCTTCACAAGAAGCTGCGCGCACATGGAGCTGCCTGGAGAAACAGACAGACAGACAGGGAGACAGGCGAGCCCGCATCTTCAAGAAAACAACCCATAATTACCTTGTCCGACCGCGGGATCACTTCCTGCAGGTCGGCTCATCCAAAAGGCTCGGTCTCCGTGGCTACCCTGTTGCCTGGAGACGGCTGTGGCGGGCAGAGGTAACCGGGCTACAGGGGCCGGTGAAGGCCAAGACACTCGGGCTCTCTGGACGACCAGCTTCACAGTTATTAGTATTAGTTATTAGTAACTCATATTAACGTTTTCCAGAATGCCGCATGGAAATCCGAACTTTGTCACCTTTTTGGCTTCACGATGCTCCGCCGGCACTTCCAACACAGATGTGGGAAAAGCTTTAAAATATATTGCAGCCTTTTTTCTTTCTTTTTTTTTTTACACATGGAAAATATTTGGGGGAAATAACATTTGATTTAAGCGCATTTCTTGTGTTTGAAACATCTGGGAAAAAACAATTCCTCATCATTCTGGCTCTCAACAAATGGATTTGAATAAAATTATGTAATGAACTACAGCAGCCACGTTAGCCGGCTTAGCGTTAGCGCTAATGCTAAGGTCAAACTTGCTGAGCAAGCTGAGCCTTTTGCCAGACAACACACATTCTGCCACTTAAATGAATTTGAGTATAAATTAGACGTCACAAAGAACCAACGCAACACTTGTATTTAAGAAAATATGTGTTGAATCGAGAATTTACATCACTATCCCACTTTAGCTGGCCTAGCATTAGCGCTAAAGCTAAAGTCAAAATGTCACGGCAGCTGCTAACAATGAGCCAAACGTCACATTGTTTTTTTTAAGTTTCTTTTCAACGTGGAATACAAACCAGATGAATTCGTGAAGGTGCTCATTCAGTTGAGCAGTCACTTCATCTGCTTTGAAAGACATGCACAAAACTGACTCAAAAGTCTAAAACTGCGGCATCCTTATTCCTCACTTGGCATTTATAAATGTGAGCTTGTAGTTTTAAAATGAGGAAGGTCATTTAATGTTAATTAACTGTTACTTATAAAGTAACTACCTACTTTATTCATGTAATTTAGTTACTTTGTGTAAAAACAATATTAAAAATAAGCCACAATCAAAGTCCATTTGAATGATTTCTTTGAATTTAGCCATTTTACTTGATTGTTTTTGTTGCAGTTCTAGTTTATGAAAAATCAACCAAAATAAAAGCTGTGCTGGTTCTTATTTCCCTTTTATCGGTTTGCTTTTATCAGTGACTGCGAGACCAGATAGAACATGTCCCAGATTATGTTAGAGTGACGCTCAAACATCCCCCAACAAAAAGATAAACTTCATTTCCTTTCTTCACCCACTCCTTTTCTGCAGACTCAAGAGTTTCTTTAAATCACAGCGACACCTCTCCGAACAGCAGGCCTATTTTTAGTCCGACACATGCCTCTGACCCGATTCTGTCACGGCAGCTGTGACTTAGTGGTGGACTGAGTGTCGAACGGGCTCAGAGAGAGCATCACTGTCCAGGTCTCCTGAGTGGGTCACCCAGCTCAATATGTGAGGGCTGCTGCTTTGTGTTGCAGTTTGCTGTTGTTTCCTCTGCAAAGCGTGACGTCGCTGTACTGCCATCTGCTGGCCACGTTCACTCCGTGGCTCCAAAGAAGTGAGAATGCTTCTTGAGAGTGTCGGCGGCCCCTTTGCCCCGTTTCACTCTGCCTCATATTCCCCTCCCTCGTTCTGTTTGTCCTGCCTGCATCAAAAATAGAAACATTCTCTGAACTGGAGAGCTGCCCAAAGAGAATTCAAAGAAATGGCATCGACAAGTGCAGAGAAATCAAATGAATTTCACATTTATTTACAAGTAACATTTCAAATAAACCTTGGAACTTTTTGGCCAGAGAAGTCGGCTTTAGAAGAATCGGAGTGATGAGAGACTCCAGTTTGCCAAGGGTCTTTCTCGTACAAATAAAGTGCATAATAAAGAAGGTTATTTCTCTGGTACTGGAATGGGTTCAGCTTTGGTCAATCCGGGGAGTCTTCTGTCAACGTTTCACCGCTTTATTCAGTCATTCGCGCCTTTCCACTCTGACCTGGCGAGAATCCGAAGGACCGTGTGGTTGAAGTCCTCCGGTTGATCGGCGAACACGTAATGGCCGGCGCCTCGGATCACCTGATGAACACAGACAGCTGGGAATCAATTTTTGACATCAAGTTTCAGGCTTTTGCAGCGGAAAGAGAACTTACGACGATTTCCGCATCTGGCCTGGTGTTCTTCACCGCATTTCCGGAGTTGCTGTCGATTCTGGACCGAGATCCGTAGATGAAGGAGATGGGAATGTCGGCTCTGACCCCATCGATCCGGTCCAGCATCGGCCTCTTCGCCCACCCGTACGGAATGGTCATGTTCTTAAAGGCCGTCTCGCCGCTGGCACACAGAGATGTCGTAGTTTGAGGGCTCGAATGGAGTTAAAACAGCCACAGGCAGGAGGGCAAGAAATGATTTTTCACCTTGGCGTCTGGGCATTGAGGTGGTAGATGTAGTCGGACACTGTGTTGTCATCAAACACAGAGGAGTACTTCTGCTTGAAATCCGACCGGATAGTCTGGACCAGCATCGGACCTGAGGGAGGAGAATGTACGTATGTTATGGCACCAAATTGAGCCGGTAAGCTTAACATCAGGACTTTGTGCTGATGTGCATCGTTTGGTTTCCTCTCAATTCACTGCCAAACTTGGTCTCATCTAAAGCTTTTGGGCTTTCTTCACATACAAATTTGAAAACCTATTCTCATTGTTAGTGACACCCTTTCCACAAAAAATAAATAAATAAAAGCCTTTTTTGTTTTGCTGTAATTGGATAGTCAGACTGGTGCATCCTAAGCGCACAAAGCAGCGTTGTTGGAGATCCTTCCACCCAGCAGCTGTTAGACTTTGTAACCATCAATGATCCCAAAACAGCTTCATTAATATTTACATACATTTCTTAATTTGCACAGTTTTCACTCAATATAAATTACATTTCTGATGGCATCTCTGCTGATGCACAGTTGTTTTGGTCATTTATTGCAAATAGTTTATTTTGTTTTGAAGCAAATACATAAATGTATTTTTTTTTTTTTTATTAACCTACCCAGTTACACATTCCTTTATCTTGGTTTTCTTTACGAACTGCACAGTATTTGTTAAAATGTTGCCCTTGTATTTTATTTTTTAATTCTTTATTCTGTTCATATATATTTTATTTTCTTATCTTTGTGTGAAACCAACTCACTTTGATTGCCTATCACGTTGCTGCTGTCACAACAGAATTTCATCTCTGTAGGACAATAAAGGAATTTCTGCTCTGTTCTATAAATTGTGGATTTGAGAGACAGCACTATGGCTTGTTGCAATTCTTCTTGGCTTTGCACAATTTGACCCCCAGGTGAACTTCCTGGGATGTCCACTTCTGGGAAAACCAGGAACAGTCCAGAATGTTTTCCCACCACTAACAGAACTGTCTGACAGTAGAATAGTTTATTCTAAATTATTTAGAAATGACCTTGTTTTGTTTTTTTCCCCTTTTTCTTTTTACAATTGCCCCCTCTTTTTCCAACCAAAAAATAACCATGTTATGTTTTGACTGTATGAAGATGAATTGCTTTTCCAAGTTTATTTTTGACGTTCTTACGACATGACATTGTCCTTTCACTTGTATGACTTAGACCAACAAACAGGCAAAAATGTCATTTTTAAAGGGATACAAAGACTATTTACGATAAACTAAAGATGATTTGCAGAAACTTGATTAATTCCTATATAAACCGTCGAAGTGGATTTTTGTTTTTGTTGTTACCTCAGAGTAACAGGCTATGCAGCTTTTCCCCTATTTCAGACCTGCTAATGATCAGAGTTTTTTAATTTCATCCCCAATTATGTAATAGGAACTGGAAAACTAGTGTATGTTTGGAACTGTAATCTGATTGTCTGTGTAATAAACTTAAACTCTCAAACTCATGCAATAAAAACAAAACAAGAAAAACATCAAGGTCCCAGGATTGTTTAAGTCCATGTGTGTGTTTGTAAAAGTGTGCGTGTTCTGACCCAGAGGTCCGGCCAGCCTGAGACCAGCCAGCGGGTTGAATGGGCTCATGACGGCCCCGATGGCTCTGATCCACACCGGGATGGAGTAGTGGTTCGGGTTGTCGGGGCGGGCCGGGAACCCCCACGGTTCCACCAGCAGCAGATGTCTCACCCTGCACAAGCAGAAACTCCGTGTTACTACGGGCTGGGCAGTTATCGCATCGTTTATCGCAATAAATTTCTTATCGTCATGAGAATTTTGGTCCATCGTTGTCACAATAAATTCCAATTAATCTTTTAAACACCCCAAAACTGTTGGGATGGTTAGTGTCACCATTTTCCCCACTGTTCATTCATCAACCAATATAAATAATTTAGAAAATATAACTAAATGCAGTTACTGTGATACAAATTTATGTAACAAATGTCCTAAAGAAGCGCATTACAAATCAATATGTTTTTCAAGTTGTTTTGATGATAAATAGTTCTTATCGCTTTTAATGCTATCACGGTAGTAGCACAAAATATCGTGATAAAACCTTAAGTCCATATCGCCCACTGCTAGCAGTCTCTTCATAAATTTATTAAATGAAGTTAATTTAAGCATGATCTTAAGATCATACCTGTTTGGGTATTTGAGCGTGTAGGCCGCAGACAGGTATCCTCCCAGGTTGTGTCCAAGCAGAACCATCTCTTCCAGGCCCACCTTCTCCCTCCACTCCTCCAAGGCCGACACGAACTCCTCCTCGGCCCCCTCGGGGTCGCTGCTGAACTGGGGGCGGCTGCTCCTGCCAAACCCCAGCAAGTCCAGCGCGTAGACGGGTCCGCAGCTGGACAGCGCGTCCAGATTCTGGGCCCAGAGGCCGACGCCGCCTCCGAACCCGTGGAGCAGCACCAGGGGCGTCCTGTGCTGGGGGCGAGGCGGCAGGAGGGACGATGAGTTTGGATGCGGGTGGGTGGAGAAGGCTATGGTCCACAGGTAGTTACCATTGGATATGCGGATGTGCTGCCTGGAGTAGGGTTGCCTCACAGCTTCAACAGAGAGAAGGGACAACAAGATATGGATAAGTAGAGGAAACATAACTTCCTT